AAATAAAACGTTTGACTTAATACCATCTGTAGTGAAATGACCACAGGGACAGGTCTAAATGGTTTATTAAGTAAGAAGGATTGAACCTATGAAAAATTGTTCTCTCCTAGAATATTTCTAACCCACACATGTGATTTATATCATGGCAGAATTCAACACAAAAGGTCTATTGTTTTTGGCAAAATAACCTGCAAACATGCTTAATTAGGATGCAAAGTGAAAGCACAGTTTAATACTGTTGACAGCCATGAACTTTAGACATCAATTTCTACTATTATTATTATTTTACTTATGGAAATATAGGAAAAGCAGTAAATATGGAACTAGAAGACAAAGTCATCAACGAGATGTAACAGTTAAATCTTACCATTCTCATTTGTGTGTCAACATCACAAATAAAATGCTCTGAACACCCTACCTTGGAATGGAAATGAAAGAAGTCAGTTTTGCAATCAAAGCTTACCTTCACTGATATTTGAAAAAGATGTCAGCATTTAAGTTAATATCTATTTCTAGAAGGCTTTACTTTAAGAAGTGATGGCCTCTTTCTGGGGAGAAGGGATAATTCTTTATACTGACATTCCATTCCATTTACTGCAAGATGAAAATGAATGCCACCATTAAATGAATTCCATGGTCAGTTAATATTCAAAGCAAACTTTTCTATTGTAACCACTTAGTCACCATTCTATAGGAATATTTAGATTCTAAAAATAAGTCTGCAAGAATATAACACAGCACCAGTTTCAAACTGGTAATGCCCAGCTCTTCCAGGGTCATGTCTCATAATTCTTTGTTTCTATGGATCAGAGACTAAGGATGTGAAAAGGGAAGACCAGGTTCCAGGTCTGAATGAGGCAAAAGCAGAATCTGGTTACACTGTCTGAATATTGTAGCCAGTTCACTTATTTAAATTTTAGTAATCATTTTAAAGTGACAATCTATGTGTGACAAAAGACAAGGTAAGATGTAGGGTTAAAGCATTACATGGTATAGCAGAAAGAGTTCTGGCCTCTGGTTCTTTCCTTCCCACTGCTGTATACCTTCAGATAAATTATGTCAGTAACTTTCAGTTCTGGGCCTTTACTTCCTGTTTTTCTTTCCTTATCTGAAAATGACAGTTATTCTGAGAAGGATCAGGCAAAATCATGAAGTCTACAAAAATGGTTTTAATAGTACAAAATGGCACAGAAGGTCAGGATATTTCTGTGAAGCTTGAAAAATGTATCTACCAGAGATCACCAATCTGAAGAGTTAAAATTAAAAACTTCAGGGTGGGTATCTGACCTGAGGTATCTGAACTTACTGTTTCAAGTTCTTATTTTACCTCTGTAGACATAGTCTTAGAGTTAAGTGTTAAAAAGTTAACTAGGTACTCTATTTTATAAGATTCTATTAAAATTTTCACGGATTTATTTCCTATTATAAAATTAATACATGCTTCTTGTAGAAGCTTCCAACAGCTCAGAATTCTGTAAAGAAAAAGTACTTTCCCTCCACTGCTCCCTGCTTTTTCCTGCTCTCCCCACCGCTCCACACAAACACACACGCATAGGACTCTCCATTTCCACTCCTCAGACATGATCATTATGGACAGTTTCTTGTAAAATTAAATACTCTGAAAATGGAAAAAGTTGGTAGACAATTTATCAATTTAAAAAATGTTAAATTAAAGAAAAATCTAGAATTATCCCATACAAGTCAGAATTGGTGAAATCTCAAATTCCCTTGGGACAACAGAATGACCAATTGCTGGTGAGGGAATTGAAACAATAACCCTGTAAACAAACTGTCTGGAGTGTATGGCTAGAGCCAGCCTAGAGCAAAGATGGAAAAAAGCCTTCAAGGAACACCACCTCCTCCTCGTGGTTAACAACTTGATGACGTTCTTCAACATGTTTTAATGATTATCGTATCTTCCTCTTCACAAAGGACTGATTTATTATGGTTTAAATTTAAAGAATACTGGTTTCCCAGTTTTGAATCAGGCTTAGATTACAGAACACATAAGATCAATGACTTTCTTCTGGGCAAAACACCCCTGAAAGCAAAACCCACAACTAACCCCACAGCGTTCATTTAAGTGCAGAAGGAACAGTCCTGGGGAAAAGTTCTTCACACAGTTCTAGACGTTAACTGCTTCCACCACCCTCCGTCTCTACTCCTCTTCCCATACCTGTCATCAGCACCTCCACACTTAACACTTCCACGGCACCTTAAATGCACAAACAACTTCATGTATTATTTATCTTAATCCTCAAAGCCATTTTGTCAGGTAGAAAGGACAATCTTAGCTTTTCAATTTACAGATTAAAAACACTGAAGCTCAGAGCAGTAAAGTGATTGGCCCATGATCATTCCCCAGTAAAAGTATGTTCGCCCAGGTATACTACTGCTGTCTAGATGTCTATCTCCATTTCAGAGCTCTCCTCTCAAGATCCCACGTGCAATCACTGATCCAACATCTGCACTTCAGAGTCCAAATGTGGTTAAACTCAGTTTTCCAGGCTCAGCCCATAATATTCTCCCCCAAACTTGTTCATTCTCAACGAATGGCACCATTATCCTTTCAGTTGTTCAAGCCCCAAACCTAGGAACCATCCCTCCCCACTACCCCTTTTATCAACATGCACGTAGACTCGATCACCACATCCTATAGATTTTGCCTTCTAAACTTTTCTCAAATCTGTCCACTTCCCCTTGTCTTCACCATGAATACTGTAGTCCAAGACCCCAGCATTGCACATAACAATCATTTCCATGTTACACTCTGTCTTCTGCACACTACTCCCATTCCACCCATTCTCCACGCTGCAGCCAGAGTGATCAGGTAATTTCTCGGCTTAAAATCTTTTGTTGGCTTCCCAGTGCTCTTCAGATAAACAGAAGAATCCTTAGTGTGGCCTATAAGGGCTAATATAATCTGACCCTTGTAAGCTGGCAAGATAAGTGAGCTCTTTCCATAATTTCAGAATACTATGATGTCTTTTAAGTAATAAATAAATATTTAAGCTTCTGTTTTTTTCATAATGCATAACATTTAAAACTTAAGTGTATTGATTAATTGTAGAATGAAGTTTGCATTCGTGGATTTTTTTAAGCATTAGTAACACAATCATATATAAATCTTATTGATCCTTCTGAAATTCTTCTTTAAATATATCCAAGTTCATATTATTGTAATAACATATGCATTAAAATACATGCACAAATATATATAATAAAATATATATTATTTATATAACATTTGTAAATTATATCATTCATTTCATCGTGTGTAATTTCTATCTGCTGCAAGCCTTTGGATAGCTGGAGAAATAGAGGCATGGACATTTCTCCCACGTTGTATGAATCACTCATCTCAGAGTTTAAAAAACATCAGCTTCATGGCTGTGTGACTTGTGCAGTTGCCCAGAGCCTGCACGTAGAGGAGCCCCATGCTTGGTTTACTGCTCTACAGTTGCTGTCTTGAAATTCTTAATTTTTGCACATTTTCATTTCACCCAGGGCTCCAAAGATTATTATTATTTTTTTTAACATCTTTATTGGGGTATAATTGCTTTACAATGGTGTGTTAGTCTCTGCTTTATAACAAAGTGAATCAGTCATACATAAACATATGTTCCCATATGTCTTCCCTCTTGCGTCTCCCTCCCTCCCACCCTCCCTATCCCACCCCTCCAGGCTGTCACAAAGCACCGAGCCAATATCCCTGCTAAAAACATTTTTTTAATGTATGTAGAGTTGAACTCTCTCATGTCATCCACGACCTAAGTGTTTATTGTACTCTACTTCTGTATTTCAAGAACTCAACAGGAGAAGAGCTCTGAGGACCACCAGAGTCAGAATTGTCAGTCAGTGGGGGGATCTATATATTCTGTGGCCATTCATAGATTTCAGACCAACAAAACATGAGGTTATACTCAAAAAATGAGGTTCCTAAATAGAGTGAAACCTGGTTAACAATTTCGGCGAATGAGGCAATGTCAACAGATAGTTAATGGGGAACATGCCTTGGATTTAGCTGTTACTTGAGATAAGTACTGGCCTAGATTACAGGGGATAGCTGGAAAAAGGCAACTGTAACCAACATTACCTTATAGAATCAGGTGATAGCCATATTAGAAATATTTTTATTCTTTATAAAGTTCTTCAATACTTTTTATTTTTATTTTTTTGCGGTATGTGGGCCTCTCAATGTTGTGGCCTCTCCCGTTGCGGAGCACAGGCTCCGGACGCGCCAGCTTAGCGGCCATGGCTCACGGGCCCAGCATGTGGGATCTTCCCGGACCGGGGCTCGAACCCATGTCCCCTGCATTGGCAGGCGGACTCTAAACCACTGCGTCACCAGGGAAGCCCCACAGATGCTCATTTTAAAACACATCATGTGTTACTTTTATCTTGTCAAAGTTGAAAGGCTGCTGACATCTGTAAGTTACCATTAAAAATTATTATCATTATTTTATATCAAAAGTGCATGATCCTAGAAGAGTTGATTTACTACTTACCCTAATTAACTTAGGTGAATTTAAAAATTACTATCTAGGTAAAATTTAAATTTTAGGCTGATAATTTTCCCTCATGAACTCAAAATTTATTTACACTATGAAAATTTCAACTTCCTTGAGCAAGTTATGCTTCTGAGATAAAAATTAAGTAATAACAGTTTCTAGAAATTCCTATTAGTGATAAGTGTGAAGCATTCAGGTATAATGGTATATTCTTCAAGAAGATGAGTTTTGGTGTCAGACTTGGGTTCAAGGCTCTGCCTTGCTCTTTATTATGTGACTCTGAGCAATTTACTTGATCTTTCTGAGCCTTTGTTTCTGAATTCAAAATAGGGATCACAACACTCAATAAACAAGGCTGATGTGGGGATCAGCTTAGATAACAGACATAAGAGTTCAGCACAGTGACTTGGAAGGATAAATACTCTACAAATGCAGCTATCATCATTGATAGGATTTTTCCTCCAGGATTTTAATCTATTAAACAGTTACCTTATTGACAGGAATAATGTTCTTGACATTGTAGTAGAAGCCGAAATAAACCATGTTGAAAACTCCGTGACGTCCCAAAGTTGCTGTAAATCCTTTGTTGAGGCCCTGGAGTCCCAAGCCTTCCTTCTTAATGATGTGTCTTGCATAACTCATGGTGGATGGTTGCTGCACGAGAGAGGAGAAAGGTCATCTTTGGGACTGTGAAACAGAATAAATTACAGTTTTAACTTGCCTTCAAGCCCAAAATTATTAGGGACTTATTTTTCCCCAAAGATGAATAATCATGCCTAGATTCATGCTTTTTAAAATTAGGAAACCCCAGAAGTAAACAAAATTGCATGCATAACAACAGGCCTTAAAGGGAAGATTGTTGGCCAAGAAAAAATATCTTTGATGGAATTAGTGAAACTAATGTCATATAATAACTAACATCATTTTCGACATGTCAATAGTTGCATCCAATTCTGGATCATCCACACTAATAGAGGGGATTAACCATATAGATAAACTAGTAATCCATACTGGTAATCCATAACTGTGCATAACCCAAAAGGAATGTATTTTTGGCTCCTGAATATTTACCTTTCTAATTATGTTTTTCTAAAGTGAATGTTACAATTAGTCCTGATTCCACTCCCTCAATAGTTTAAACTGGCGTTAGGTTAGAAATCGGCTGTGGATAAATAGCAGTTGATTGTAGACTTCCTCAAGACAGTGGGCAATCAGTGTGTGTAACACTTGCTGTGATAAATGATAAATCAATGGTGTTGAGAGTACTGGGTTACCTTTAATTTACTTCTTTCCAGCCCTTTGATTGATTATCTAAGGTTGAAATACCTTGACTGCTGGAACCCAGTCAGTGCTACTTTTGGAACTTGCTAAAGAAATCACTGTAGTTTGCCCTGAGTTTTATAATTCATTACAGTACAATTACAACAATTCATGTGGGTTTTTAAATAAGGTTGAGTGTTTCCTTTTTGGAGGTACAGCACAAAGGATCTCTCTCCCTCTTAAATTTTGAATACTGAATAGTAAATAAGGGGAAAGGTTCAGCATTTAATTTTTTTCCCATGAGGCAAGCACTGAGATGAGGCATATTTGAAATTTCACTGGAGCAGGTTGCTGGAGTGATCATGGCAGTCTGATGCACTCACTGACTAAAAGTGTTTTCTTATCATGTGCAATTAAGGCTGTGTCAGCAGAACAGAACAAATCCAATCAAGGCTTTTCATCCAACTTTGTAGCTATGTAATTAACCTGATACATTTAAATGAGTTTGTTTAGAGAGTAAACCCTATAGCTTTTACTGATAAATGTTTTAAAAACTCTAGCTACAATTCTACACTCAAATTCATCTTTTCATTTAAGAGGATTAATTACAATAAATTACATTAATCCCAAGAAAACCCTTTTTTTGTGACATGAGAAAAACACATGAGAACGTACCTTAAAACAATAAAAGACATTTCATATCGGAAAACCAAAAATTCTCAGAAGGTTAAAGTTCACTCTCTCTGCTACAAAATGGGATTTTTTTGCTTGTGTTATGGCACATTGACTATCAACCCCAGTTATTTATTTTGGTTTTCAAAAGAGACTTGAGGACAAGTTGAGCAGAAGTTCATTTCTGTTGGAAAGACTCTGAAAGTGCTGAGCAAACTCCTAGGCACTGCTCTCTTGTTGTGAGGAAGGCAGCCTAGAGGGCAAAGGCAAGGAAAGGAGGCAGCTCTCCTGGGGATGAAAGAAACTAGGCAGAAGTGAGGCTGCCTGGGTCCAGACTGACCAACACCAGTCCTCCCTGCTTCTAGCCCAAGCTTTCTCTCCATCCTCACCCACTCTGAAGCCCCGAGGGCAGGAGAGATGGGGAGGTCAGAGGCCATCTAGATTCTTCAGCAACAGAGGAACCAATGACTTTGAATGAAAGTGCAGATTAACATGGCTTTCCCTAAATAAAACAGGTATAAAGATGTGTCTATCATTTAAAAATCTAGTGTGCTACATCATCAAAATTTAAAGAGAGGACTTCTATTAGATCTTTTTTTAAATTAATTTTTATTGGAGTACAGTTGATTTACAATGTCGTGTTAGTTTCTGCTGTACAGCAACGTGAATCAGTTATACATATACATATATCCCCTCTTTTTTAGCTTTTCCCATATAGGTCATTACAGAGTATTGAGTAGAGTTCCCTGTGCTATAAGTAGGTTCTTATTATTTATCTATTTTATATATAGTAGTGTGTATATGTCAATCCAAATAGCATTTACTGATGGTCCATTGCCTGATTTCTACCAGCTTGGATGTTAGGTAGGTACGAAGAAATGTAACACATGGATTTTGACTCAAGTGCCTTGTTGAGTTTGAACTCAGCTGTGAATAATTAAGCAAATCAGGGGGTAGTACAGTAGTTAGAAATAGGGGGTCAGAGCCAGACAGTCCCAAGCTTTGAATCCCAGAAATATCACTTGCTAGCTTAAGCAGGTATTTTATCCTCTGATTTATCCTCACTTCATTCATCTGTAAAATAAGGATAATAATAGAATCTTCCTCATAGGATTGTTGTTGTGATGATAAATAAGTCAATGAACTTTGCCCTATGTAAGCATTTACTATACATTAGCTGTTAATAATAATGGCAATTATGAAGATAATAAAACTAATCATAATAGTAAAATAACAGGTAATTTCTTTGGTAGTTGAAGGCAATGACAACCAAAAGGTGGAGGCTGATTTGAGGGGGAGGAAGGACATGAATAACTAGCCTCTTCTTGCTCATTCCTTTTGGCTGTGGTTTCCTTTTCCCAGAGCCCTGGACCCTTGTGACATGATCCTTCCTACAGAAATGCCTTCAGAGAGCAAGATCATAGGTCTGCTTTTTCTGGGAGCCACCCATATCCAGCTCCTGGGCTACAGATCTCCTAGGTCATCACCCCAGGGCTTTCCTCTCAGGAGCAGCAGATCCTGTAAAATGGTCTCTTCCCTACTGCTTGGTAAACATCCTCGGTAAGAACTCTTCACTTGACAGGTCTATGCACTGTAGAAGCAAGGCCACCATGAGGGAGCAAAGGTTGGGAAAGGAAAAGCACACTAACCAGGCCTCCACCTGACACAGTTTATTTATACCTTAGAGAGCATATACATGCATGTTACCAGGTACCTGGAACACAGGAAGTGCTCATCAATGTTCGTCATTATCATAGATACTTGGTACTTTACATATATCATCTTACTTAATCCTCTGAACAAGTGTGTGGGATGGGTATTATCTTTATCCCCATTTGACAGGTGAGGAAACTAAAGTTAAGTTACTTGCTCAATATCACAGAGTTAGTGGAAGGTCCAGAGCTCCAACTGAGGCCCCTCAGGCTCCAAGTTCATACTTTTATACTCTGCATGGTTCTGCCATCCTATCATATACGATTGCCTCTCTCCACAACCTGTAATGTGGACAGCAGGTATATTATTCTCATTTTACAGGTGAGGAAACCAAGGATTAAGTAATATTCCTAAGGGGAAAGTACTGGAAAATGGCTTAAGCAGAATTCTACATCTCATCCAGTGGTGCTCTCATGCTTGTTGACTCATTCTTGTTATACACATGCTGTAAGATTTTCAGAGTTTGATAATCCAACTGATACAGGTAACAGATAAATACAAATATATTTTTCTGGCAGCTTGGGGCCTTGAGACCAAGAAAAACCTAAACTCTAATTCCCGTAAGAATTAGAGGTGTCCTTTTTGCTTCATTCAGAGACACTGTATCACACACATGTAAGCAAATATTTAATTAGAAAGGCAAAACATGACTTCCACTAGGAAAATACAGAATCATTTTGACTAGATCTCTGTAAACACAAGTTTTACTAAACTTATTTGATTACTGGGCTTCCATTTCAAAATGAAATGGTAACTGATTAGCATCATCAGGCAAATGATTCCAATCCTATCCAACCCAGCAGGTCACCCACAAATTCAGTTTCCTTTCAATATTTAGATTCACTCCAATTTTCATATTTAGTTACCAGCTGTGGGCCAAATTGCATTCTAACTTTCCTAGATATACCTTTCATTGACTGCACCAGAGCTGCAAGCATGGAAGAATAAGTGGGTCAGAACGGAGCTAATGTTGCAATATCACACTGCTCTCCACGTTGATTTAGAAAAATCTTCAGTTCACTGGTACCTGCCAGAAGTATTTCCATTGGAAGGAACTCAAAGTCTACTTTAACTCTGATGTCAGCTATTGCCAATTGTTAATTCTGGGAACTCCATGTTCTTTTATGCATTAATTTATTCAACAAACACCTACTGAGCCCTACTAGGTGCCATGCACTGTGTTAACTATCTAGTACGGTACTTTGTTCATATTCGAGAAACATAAAAATATTTTTGCTTTGCTTTTTATTTGGAGAGATATACTGAAAAATTTTATATCTACCCATGAGAATATTCTATAATGATTATGAAACATGAAATCGAATTTCTGTAATTGATGAAGCCACTATGGAAAACAGTATGGACGTTCCTCAAAAAACTAAAAATAGAACTACCATATGACCCAGCAATTCTACTCCTGGGCATATATCCAAAAAACATGAAAAAAAAATTTAAAAGATACATGCACTCTAATGTTCATAGCAGCACTATTTATAATAGCCAAGATATGGAAGCAATCCGTGTCCATCAACAGACTAATGGATAAAGAAGATGTGGTATACAATGAGAAATCACCTCACGCCTGTCAGAATGGCTAACATCAAAAAAAACCCACAAATAACAAATGTTGGAGAGGATGTGGAGAAAAAGGAACACTCATAAACTGTTGGTGGGAATATAAATTGGTGCAGCCACTATGGAAAACAACATGGATGTTTCTCAAAAAACTAAAAATTGAACTACCATATGACCTAGCAATTCCACAGCTGGGTATATATCTGAGAAAAACAAAAACACTAATTCGAACAGATACATGCACCCCATGTACTTAGCAGCATTACTTAGAATTGCCAAGATATGGAAGCAACCTAAGTGTCCATCAACAGATGAATGCATAAAGAAGATGTGGTGTATATACACAATGGAATAATACTCATCCATAAAAAAGAATGAAAACTGATATCACTTATATGTGAAATCTAAAAAATAAAGCAAAATAGTGGATGTAG